GGGGGGGGGGGGGGGGGGGGGGGGCACAGATGGAGAAACGATATCAATATCATTGCCTAAGAGACCTTGCCTGCTCCAAGATAAAAATATACGAGCACAGCAATAACATGATAATATCAAAACAGACGCCGAGGGAGGGCTCCTTGAGAAATCACTAAGAATTCTTGGCATTCGCTAATTATTTCATCCAGAACACCTGTGTATGTTTAACAGCTGTAAGCTATGTATATATTGAAATGCCAGTTATAATAAACTCAGAGTGGCCATCAGCCCTCTCCGCATCTATCCTGATGTGTACATTGGATTGTGACACTGACATAAAGTGCAGGGATATTCCCTCAGTCAATACCAGAAGTGATCTCCCCGCACACTTGTGGAAAATCCACACTACCCCCATAGCTCATTAATGTCACCAACATGGCTGCAGTGGACACAGGCAACCTGGCATTTTGTGTGACTTTTCCTCCTGGACAGAAATAATTGGACCAGAGTTGGGTCCCTGGTCCAGGCTGGGTCAACGAGAACCCTTTGGAATTTGAACCTAGACACTCCAAAACCTGTCTACTCTCGTAGACAAAGAACGAACTGTGCGGCAGCCATCTACCATGTGGACCGGGAAACAGAACTGGTGGAGGGAGAGACGGACAGACAGAGACACAGAGACAGAGAGAAAGGAGATAAAACAGACGTGCAGAGAAGAGAGGCAGAGAGAGAGGATTTCCTGAGTTCCTACAATGCTCCCGTCCTGGCCACTACTCTGTCCCTGAGGCCCAGTTGTATTCCTGGCCTTGTGTTCTTATAATAAGTCCTCCTTTTTGCTCAAGTTGTCTCTTGTGGGTATCTGTTACTTACAAACAAGAGCCCTAATTAACTCAACCTCCCCAGTCTCTTGAGTAGTTCAGTCCTAACTCCCTTCTAGTCTGGATCCACATTGCCCTGGGCCATAGTTTACCTTGAGGATGACAGTGGCTTTCATCTTAAAAGCCAACTTCAGTCAGTTGGTTGTGCCTGGGCATGCTTTTTGGGGCAACAATGGGGCCCCCTGGGAGTTCAGGTAATAACCACACCCTCCTAAGTAGAGCGGGGTGGGGCACAGGGTATATCTCTCAGGATGAGCCACCCATTCTTCAGTAGGGCCAGCAGCAGAGAGACAGACTCTGGGTGGCACCATGGCCAAGTACAGGGTGAGGGTGTCCACTGGGGAGGCCTTCGGGGCTGGCACTTGGGACAAAATGTCTATTACCATCGTGGGGACCCAGGGAGAGACTCCCCGACTGCCTCTGGACCATCTCGGCAAAGAGTTCACTGTGGGCGCTGTGAGTGTATGGGGCGCAGGGGTAGGGGCAGAGGAGGGAGGAGGAGGAACGGTCCTCTCAGATAGTAAACCTACCGTCCCCCTCCCCAGGAGGAGGACTTCGAGGTGAAGTCCCCCCAGGACGTGGGCCCGGTGCTGCTGCTGCGCGTGCACAAGGCGCCCCCGGCGCTGCCCCTCCTGCTCGGGCCCTTGGCTCCGGACGCCTGGTTCTGCCGCTCGTTCCAGCTCACGCCGCCGCGGGGCTCCCTGCTCCGCTTCCCGGCCTACCAGTGGCTGGAGGGGGCGGGGAGCCTGGTGCTGCGGGAGGGGGCAGGTGCGAGAGGGGATGGGCTGAGGCTGGGGAAAGGGCATGGAGTGAGAGGGGGGCTGATATTGGGGGTGAAGGGCAAGGGAAGTGGAGAGGTGAGCCGGTGTAGCCACTAGAGAAGGGGCAGAAGATGAGGGGCTAGTGAGGCTGTGGCGAGGGGGAGGTAGCAGCCGCGTATGGGAGAAACTGTACTTACTGGGGGAGGGGACCTGGTAGGTGGTGGCTCGAGTGGAGGGGAAAGTGGCTGCGGCCAGAGGTCGGGGGAGTTTCTCTGCCTTCCTCACTCACTCCCCTCCTCCCACAGCGAAGGTCTCCTGGGCAGACCACCACCCCAAGCTCCAGCAACAGCGCCGGGAGGAGCTGCAGGCCAGGCAGGAGATGTACCGGTGAGGAGGGGTCTACTGTATGTGGGTGGGTGGGGCCGTCGCCCACCAAGGTCGGCCTGGTGTCCCTGGTGATGATGCTGACTAAAGTCTCTGCTTTGTACTCTCTGAACCTAAGACCTGAAACTATCACCTGGGAACTTGTTAGAAATGCAAATTCTCAGACCTACTGAATCAGATATTGAAGGTGGGGGGCAGCAATGTTGGTTTTTGTTTTGTTTTGTTTTTTACAAATGTGGGGTGTTTTTCTGACCTAGTTTGCCCTCTCCAAAGCTATAGTGCAGATTAGCATGTGTAGAGAGGCCCTGTTTAACTGGGGAGTCCTTTGACTCAGATCTTAGGTTACACACCCTGTAGGGTATTTGCACAACTGAGGGAAAGCTAAGGATTTTTTTTTGGTCACCATAATTTCTTTGTTATTGTCTTTTTTTTTCTTTTTACCTGTTGACCCCCTTCACCCGTTTCTCTCACCCCTCATCCCCTGCCTCTAGCAACCACCAATCTTTTCTCTGTATCCATGAGCTTGTTTTGTTGCTGTTGCTGTTGTGGTTTTAGATTCCACATATGAGAGAGAGTGTATAGGATTTTTCTCTGCCTGACTTATTTTACTTAGCATAATGCCCTCGAGGTCCATCCATGTTGTCACAAATGGCAAGATTTCGTTCTTTTTTATGGCTGAATAATATTCCATTGTATATATATATACTACAGTTTCTTTATCCATTCATCCGCTGATGGACACTTAAGTTGCTTCCATAGCTTGGCTATTGTGAACAATGCTGCAACGAACATGGTGGTACATATATTTTTTCAAGTTAGTTTCCATTTTTTTCAGATAATACCCAGAAGTGGAATTGCTGGATCATATGGTAGATCTAGTTTTAATTTTTTGAGGAACCTCCATGCTATTTTCCATCATGGCTGCACCAATTTTATGTTCCTACCAACAGTGCGTGAGGGTTGCCTTTTCTCAGAACGCTCGCCAACACTTGTTATGTTTTATCTTTTTGATAATAGCTTTTCTAACAGGTGTGAGGTGATATCTCACTGTGGTTTTGATTTCATTTCCCTGATGATTAATGATGTTGAGCATCTTTTCATGTACCTGTTGTCCATTTGTGTATCTTCTTTAGAAAAATGTCTGTTTAGATCTTCTGCCCATTTTTAAAAATTGGGTTGTTTTCTTTTTCGTCTAGTTGTATGAGTTCTTTATATATTTTGGATATTAGCCCCTTATCAGATATATGATTTGCAGATATTTTCTCCCATTCAATGGTTTACCTTTTCATTTTGTTGATGGTTTCCTTTACTGTACAGAAGCTTTTTTTTTTAAATTTTAGATTGTCACCTGAGCTAACAACTCTTGCCAATCTTTTGTTTTTTTTCTTTTTCTGCTTTTTCTCCCCAAATCCTCCCAGTACACAGCTGTGTATATATTTTTTTAGTTGTGGGTCCTTCTAGTTGTGGCATGTGAGATGCCACCTCAGTGTGGCCTGACGAGTGGTGCCATGTCCATGCCCAAGATCCAAACCTGCAAAACCCTGGGCTGCCGAAGCAGAGCACGCGAACCTAACCACTCAGCTACAGGGCCGGCCCCTGATTTCTTCTTTGATCCATTGGTAGTTCATTATCATGTTGTTTAATCTTCATATATTTCTGCGTTTTCCGTCTTCTTCATGTAATTAATTTCTAGTTTCATACCATTGTGTTTGGAAAAGATGCTTGATGTGATTTCAATCCTGGTAAATTTATTACAACTTGTTTTGTGGTTTAACAAATGATCTATCCTTGAAAATGTTCCATGTGCACTTGAGAAGAATGTGTATTCTGTTGCTTTTGGATGGAATGTTCTCTAAATATCTATAAAGTCCGTCTGGTCTAACATGTTGTTTAAGGCTGATGTTTCCTTACTGATTTTCTGTCCATATGACCTATCCATTGATGGAAGTGGGGTATTAAAATACCCTACTATTATTATTTTGCTGTCTATTTCTGCCTTTAGGTCTGTTACTATTTTCTCTAGATATTTAGGTGCTCCTGTGTTGGGTGCTTAAATATTTATAAATATTATATTTTCTTATTGGATTGGCCCCTTTATCATTATATAATACCCATCTTTGTCTCTTATTACAGTCTTTGTTTTAATGTCTGTTTTGTCTGATATAAGTATAGCTACTCCAGATTTATTTTGGTTTTCATTTGCATGGAATATCTTTTTCCACCCCTTCACTTTCAGTCTGTGTGTGTCTTTATATCTAGAATGAGTCTCCTGTAAGCAGCATATAAATGGATTTTTTTTTAATACGTTCAGCAACTCTATGTCTTTTGATTGGAGAATTTGGTTCATTTACATTTAAAGAAATTATTGATAGGTATGTGCTTATTGGGATTTTGTTAATTGTTTACGGGCTGTTTTTGTAGTTCCTCTCTGCTCCTTTCTTCTTCTTTTGTAGAGAGCAAGAGTGCAAGGCAGCCCTGGTCAAAATATGTGCTGTGGACTGATTCTTTCACCCACCATATGCAGATAGGGTCCTCTGGTGCCAACACTAACTGTTCCTTATTACCTGGGACGGCTTTTAGAAACTACTACCATTAAGTGTTTTTTTCAAGTGGTAGTGAAAACCTAGATTTTTTAAAGTGCCTTTTAATTCATTGTTGTCCATGAACTTTTAGAGTACTGAATATGTAACAGTATCTCAAATTTTGACTATTTCAGTCTTTAATGAGTGCCATTTAAAAAAATTTAAAATAGATATAAATTGTTATATGTAGGCCTCATGGTAACCACAAAGCAAAAACCTGTAATAAATACACAAAAGATAGACAGCAAGGAATATAAGTATTCCTAAAGAAAGTCATCAAACCACAAAGGAAGAGAGCGAGCAGTATTGTTTTAACGAGGCTTTCAGATGACTGGTGCCTGCTGGTGTCTTCTTTGCCTTGGGCCTTTTTCACACATCAGTTGTTGTGTCCTCCCGGAAATGTGGGCAGATCTGCAAATATACCACCTCAAACCTCAAGAAACTCATCCTCCAGGGAGGGCAAGGGGTGAGCTGGGGGCTGTTTCTCTGCTCTGGGCTCAGTGTTGTTGGAGGTCAGCAGGGAGAGCTGGGTGTGAAAGGCCACTCTGGCGGTGGATGGAGACTGCAGAGGAGCTGAGGCCGCTGGTGGGGATTCCTGAAGCAGAAAGCCAGGAACTGCACTCAGATGCAGATTTTCAAAAGATCGTGGTCTGGCCAACTTTGCTGCTGTCTGAAGCTTGGGCTACAGGCCGCTGCTCCAGTTCTCTGGGGACACAGCAGCTGCAGGCTCGTGTGGTTCCTGGTGATTCCACATGTTGTGAATTATATCCCCAAGAACACCATTGCACCAAATCTGCCAGCAATAGCCCCTGATGAAGGAACAGATATGGAGGTCTACTGTGTCCATGGCGTGGCCTTTCTTCCTTTCTTGTCAAAACAAAGACACAGGAGTCAGGAGACCCAGGGCCAATCTGCTGAAAGGAGCTGTGAAATCTTAGGCAATCATTTGCCTTTTTTTCCCTTTTTTTCTTTTTTTTTGGTGAGGAAGATTGTTGCTGAGCTAACATCTGTGCCAATCTTCTACTATTTTGTATGTGGGACGCCACCACAGCATGGCTTGATGAGTGGTGTGTAGGTTGGCACCCGAGATCTGAACCCGCGAACCCCAGGCTGCCAAAGCAGGACGCGCAAACTTAACCACTATGCCACTGAGCCAGCCCCTCATTTAACCTCTTTGATCCTATTTTCTTCTGCAAAAGATACTAAGAATGCCAGTCTGATATGTCTTATTAGGAAGAACAAATGAGAAAATTTGCATTAAGAATGCAGCTAGACAACTGCCAAAGCCTGCGCAAATGTATTCTGTTACTGTTGTTCATAATGTCTCTCTGTTACCCCTGTTGCAACTGTCGAGGCCCTCGATACTTAAAGTGAGGTCTCAGATCCACAGTGTCAGCATCACCTGGGCACTTGTTAGAAATGCAGGCTCTTGGGCCCACCTACCCTAGACCTACTAAATCAGAATCTGCATTTTACCAAGATGCCTAGGCCTAGGTGAATCTTTTGTACATTAAAGTTTGAGAAACAGGGTTTGGCCACCACCTGGTGGCAGTGTGCTTTAATTGCAAATTTGTCGTTTGAAGTTGAAAGTTCAAACCCAAAGGCGATTTGAGTGAACCAAAGAATGAATGAGAGGAGGACTGGCTGGGGGTCTTCAGCTTCAGAGGGACCTGATTTTACCAATTCACTCAAAGGTCTTCAGGCTGTATTGCCTGCTTGATAGTGAGACTCAGAGATGCCTTAGGCCAGGGCAAAGTAAATTGGTGGGCTCCCCGAGCAAGTGGGATGCCTGCCAAAGGCAACTAAAGCCTCCTGCACCCTCTGCTTCCCAACAGCCTCCCCTCTTCGAGACGCAGCTGTGTTAGTCAGGAGTTGTATGGTCGCAAGAACAAAGACAGACTCCAGCTAGTAGACAGGAACAAAAGGAATGTGTCTACAGGACACAGAGGGTTTCACAGAAGGAAGGGCTGGAAGTGTAGCCAGATCTCACAGGCCAGAAGCCAAAGTGACACTCTCCCTGTCTCTGGGGTACCCTAGATGCTTCTCTCTCCTGCTTCACTTTTCTCTCTCTCTCTCTGCAGAACAGCTTTCTTTGGCTCCCAGTCCACACGGTGGAACACGGCCATCACTAACAGTCTCTGTGTTTACATGTTATAATCCAGATATCCAGAGAGAGATGGCCTCTCTGACTCAGCCCCAATCACCAGTTCCCTGGGAAGGCCCAGCTGTGGTCAGGTGCCCAACCTTGCACCAGTCAACTGTGACCAGGGGAGAAGTCTTGCTGCGGGAACATGGCAGCTCCCTTGCAGCCTTGTGGGTGGAGAGGAAGGACAGAGCCCATGAAGGCCCCTGCTTGTAGAAGGGGGGCTGCCTCTGACCAGGACCTCCAAGGGAACTGCCACTACCTCTGCCCTAGTCAAGGGGCTCCCTGAGGCTTCTTGCTGACCACCTTCTTGCTCCTCCCTCCAGCTGGAAGACTTACCAGCCAGGCTGGCCTCACTGCTTGGACATGGAAACCGTGAAAGACCTGGACCTCAACACCAAATACTCTGTAGTCAAGAGCACCAACTTATACCTGCGAGCACAGTCTGCGTGAGGACACCCACCCTGTCCTGCCCCCTGTCCTGCCCCTGGGCCTCAGATACCCTAGGACCCCTACCTTCTGCTCTTCCCTACTCAGCTCCCCCACCACGAGGGATATAGGTCAGACAGCCTACCCAGGGCATGGCCTCTGCTCACCACCAATTCTTAGAGGGCTGTGGCTACCTCAGGGACAGTGGCTGCTTGAGGACCTGGAGGTTGGTTCAAGATCCCAGGAGGGATAAAGCTAGCTGACAGGGGAGGGTCTCCCAGGGCCTCTTCCCCCCTCCCCACCTTTCACATCCTCTGGCAGGTTTGCAGAGCTGAAAATCAAGGGGCTGCTGGAGCGCAAGGGGTCCTGGAGGAGCCTGAGTGAGATGGAAATGGTGTTGAACTTCCAGAAGACCCCAGCCACCGGTGAGGAGCTTGGGCCAGGGCTTCTGACCTCTTTCCTGAGGCATCAGCACTCATGGCTGCTAGGAGTCTCAGAAAACCCAGCACCAATTCACTGTGTGGCCCCAGGCAGGACCCTGTCCCTTGCCAGACCTTACCTTCTCCACAGATACAAAGGAGGATGTGAACTGGGGGCATCCCTCACTTTCTAATGCCTTTTAATCCAACCGATGTTTGTTGGCTTACTGCACATCAGACCCTGGGTTAGGACTGTGGACACAGTCCTTGTCCCCGCAGGGCTCACAGTAGAGCAGGCGAGTGGACATTAGGCTCAAAACCAAAATAACAAGTTTCACTTGTGAAACCTGCGCATCGGCTCCGTGAGAGCGTATAAAGGGGCACCTGCCCTAGTCCAGGGGTGGGGGAGGGTGGGGTCCTGGAAATCTCTCCCAAGGAGGTGACTTTTATGCTGAGACCCCAAAGTTGAGTAGGTGTTAACAGTGCCAAGAATAGGGTGTGGGGACAGAGAGCATTTCAGGCTCGGGGGATAGTGCCTGTGAAGGCCCTGAAGATGGAAAGATCGGAGACCTTTGGGGGAAAGAAAGCATCTGCTGTGGCCAATGGATATTGAGTCACAGAAGGAAGATAAGAGACACAGCAGGGGAGGTACAGGGGACTTGGGTCGTGCAGGACTGTGTAGGCCCTGGCAGGAACTTGAGCCTTTCCTAAGTGCAGTAAGAAGCTTCAACTGGCTGTCAGCCAGGGAGTAACATGGCCATATGTGCTCTGTGGATGGTGGTTGTTAGGGGACAAGAGTGGAAGCAGGAGGACCAGTTATGAGGCTCTGGTCGTGGTCAGCAGAGGATGGTGGCCTCAGCAAAGCAGTGACAGCAGAGATGGAGTGGACAGGTGGACCTGTCCTCAGGATGGAGAATCAGTGGGATGTGATGAGAAGAGGAAGAGAGGTCCCCAGGCTCTCCCACAGCAGCCAGGTGGATGGAGGTGCCATTTCCCAGGATGCCAGGCAATGGGAGGGGCCGGGCTGAAGGAGGAACCCACGTTCAGTCTCAGATACGCTGCATTTGAGGCTGGTGAGTCCTGGGGTCGGGATTTCAGGTAGACAGTGGGACAGGTGGGCTGGGGACTAAGATTTGCTGTTTGGTGAATGGGCAGTGACTGAAGCCAAGGAACGAGAGGAGGTCACCTTGAGAAAGATATAGTGTGAGAAGAGAAGGGAGCCTAGGATGACCCAAGAGTAACTCCACCATGAAGCTCGGGGAGATCTCTGGGGCTGGGGTGACCCAGTCCCCATCTCCCCTTTCCCCCTACAGAGTATGTTTTTGAGCACTGGCAGGAAGACGCCTTCTTTGCCTCCCAGTTCCTGAATGGCCTCAACCCTGTCCTGATCCACCGTTGTCGCCGCCTCCCAGAGAATTTCCCTGTCACTGATGCCATGGTGGCTCCAGTGCTGGGCCCTGGGACCAGTCTTCAGGCTGAGCTGGAGGTGAGGGATGCTGAGGTCCAGGCTCTGTACCATCACGGTGCCTTCAGGCCCACCCCACTGGAGAGGGGCAGCACTCACATTCATTAAGGACCTACTGTGTGCTGCCTGCAAAACACCCTCCACTGCACTCACTCCTTTCCCAGCCCTAAGTCTTCTCCCTGCTCCACCCCCTCCATCCTTTAGAAAGCCAGGTGGCAGCCCCAGCTCCCCTTCTCTTTCCTGCAGAGGGGCTCCCTGTTCCTAGTGGATCATGGCATCCTCTCTGGTGTCCGTACCAATGTCATTAATGGGAGACCTCAGTTCTCTGCAGCCCCAATGACCCTGCTATACCAGTGCCCAGGACATGGGCTCCTGCTGCCCCTCGCCATCCAGGTCAGTAGCTGGCCAGGGGGCTGGGCAGGGGTGGGGAGGGGTCCGATTGATTGGTTGACAGACCCCTCATGGCCTCCTCTCTCCCCAATGGCCTCTCCTACAGCTCAGCCAGACCCCCGGGCCCAACAGCCCCATCTTCCTGCCCAGTGATGACAAGTGGGACTGGCTGCTGGCCAAGACCTGGGTGCGCAATGCTGACTTCTCTGTCCATGAGGCCCTCACGCACCTGTTGCATACACACCTACTGTCTGAGGTCTTCGTTCTGGCTACACTGCGCCAGCTGCCCCACTGCCACCCACTCTTCAAGGTCAGCAAGGTGGCTCAGACTGTGCCCCAAGCCTTCAGGTCCCTGAAACTTGGCCTACCCCTTGGGGTGGCTCTTCAAGGCAGCCTGTCCCCACATGGCCCTATCCTTTCAGGCTGGGGTGCAGAGCCACAGTCCAGCTTCAGCCACATCTCCCTGCACAGCTCCCCTGAGAGCCTGCTTTCCAGCAGGCCCTGAGCTGGGGTGAGGTGAATAGGGACTGCAGCGAGGAAGGGACCACATGTGAGACCAGGCTGTGCCCCAGAGAGGTTCCCTTCTTAGGGGAGATCAGACCAACAGCCAACAGCCATTACAGAAGCCCAACTCCTAGGAAAGGAGAGACCTGGGGCTGGTGGATGCCAAAGTGTGAACATGGCTTTGAGGGACCAACAGGTTTTCTGCAGATAGCAGCAGGGGTGGGGGAGCCCTGGGAAGGAGACCCATATCTCTAAGGTGGGCTCTGCAAAGCCTTCAGATGGCCCAGCTTCATTTCGCCCAGGGACCTGACGCATCTCCTCTGTGAAAGGCAGGATTTCCCACACACAGGGTGGGTGGCTGCTCAGTTCTTGCTTCGACAGTCTCCTGGGTCCTAGATGCAGGCCCCCCTCTGTCCTCTTTAATCCAAGCTGATTCTTTCTGACCACCGGCAGCCTCCTGGGCCTGACCCTCAGAGGTGGGCTCTGGGGGATGATTTTACATTGCCAGGCCCTGGTTTTCATGGTTCTTTGCCTTCCCAGGGGTTGGGAAATCACTGGATGCCAGAGCTGAGGGGCTCATAGTGCTCATCCAGCTCAGCCCCCTCATTTGCCCAATGATCTGATGCCCAGAGAGAGGAATGCATAATACCTGAGATCACAGAACAAGATGCTGGTGGAGGCCAGCCCTGTCACTGCACCTGGAGCCCTCATCCCTGTCCTGGGCTGTCCCTCTTGTCCCTGTCATCTCTTTCCACAAGTGATTTACAAGACTGGGTGCCTCGGTAGGGGGAGGTCTGGGGCCAGAAACACCGAGGCTTCACTGGACCCTGCCTTCTCTGGCCCTTACAGCTGCTGGTCCCGCACACACGGTACACCCTGCATATCAACACACTGGCCCGCGAGCTGCTTATCACCCCTAAGCGGGTGGTGGACAGGGTAAGCACTGCCTTTGGGAGGGTAGGGGTGGCACATTCGTTCAGTTTGAAGAATCTGGGGTCCTGGGGTGGGAGTGGCCCTGTCTCCCCTACCAGAACTACCTCCTGCTTCTGGGGCAAGGGCTTTGGTACCCAGAAGTCCCATCTCCCAGTCCACAGGCCTTGGCCTCAGAGGCTTCTCCGAGTTGATACAGAGGAGCATGGAACAGCTGAACTATTCCGTCCTATGTCTGCCTGAGGATATCCGTGCCCGAGGAGTTGAAGACATCCCTGGCTACTACTACCGGGATGACGGGATGCAGATCTGGGGTGCAGTGGAGCAGTAAGGGGGCCATCCCCAGAGAGCTGGGGGCTTGAGGGAAGCAGGAAGGCTGGGAAGGAGAGGGAGGGCCCAAAGAGGCTCTTGACAAGGAAAACTGAACATTAACAAGACTGGGCAGGGGCGCTCCTCAGAGCACATCGAATTGAAGGCTAGGACTGAACCCAAACGTGGTGCACCTTGCAGCTTTGTCTCCGAAATAATTGGCATCTACTACCCGAGCGATGTGTCCGTTCGCGATGACAGTGAACTCCAGGCCTGGGTGTGGGAGATCTTCTCCAAGGGCTTCCTAGGCCGGGAGAGCTCAGGTACAGGGACCTTAGCCCTTGAGCCCCACCCTCAGGCCTCTGCAGCACGGTCCTCAGGACCCTTGTGGCCCCAGCCTCAGTGCAACTCTCCCTGCAGGTCTTCCCTCCTCATTGGAGACCCGGGAAGCCCTGGTGCAGTATGTCACCATGGTGATATTCAACTGCTCAGCCAAGCACTCTGCCGTCGGTAGTGGGCAGGTGAGAAGGGTCAGCACTGGGGGTGGTGGGATGGAGGGGCCGGGCTTCTAGGCCTCACTCTGCCCTCTTGGCCTTCAGTTTGACTACTGTGCCTGGATGCCCAACCTGCCGCCCAGCATGCAGCTGCCACCACCCACCTCCAAAGGCCAGGCAAGCCTGGAGGGGTTCATAGCCACCCTCCCACCGGTCAATGCTTCATGTGATGTCATCATAGCCCTCTGGCTGCTGAGCAAGGAGCCTGGAGACCAAGTAAGTGTGGGGCTGGGAGTGAGGCCAGCTCTAGAGTAAGGGACGAGTGTTGTTTCCCCTCCCTGGCCCAGACCCTACTCTGCCATCAAGAAGCCTGGTCCCTTCACCCCACTGAACCTTCCCAGGGGGACACATGAGCCTTGGACATCTCACAAGCAGGGTCAAATGGCCAAATGAGATGATCCACAGTCACCCTTAGCCGCAAAGACAACCGATGATCGCGCTCCAGCTGGCGCCCCTTTTGAAACTGTTGGGGGAAGGGGACATGGATGAGGCTCAGACAGAGGCTGGTTCAGGTCCTCAGGGTGGAGGGCTGGGGCCAGAGCCGGCTAAGGCAGGTGACAGCTTCTCAGCAGCCCCTTCATTCAACCTTGTGGTTGGTCCGCAGCGGCCCCTGGGCACCTACCCAGAAGAGCACTTCACCGAGGAGGCCTCACGGCAGAGCATCGCTGCCTTCCAGAGCCGCCTGGCCCAGATCTCCCAAGACATCAGGGTGCGGAACCAGGGCCTGGTGCTGCCCTACACCTACCTGGACCCTCCCCTCATCGAGAGCAGCATCTCCATCTAAATCTGGAGATCAGGGCCTCACGTGACAACTCTTTGACCACATTGCTCTAGTCCCAGAGAAAGGGACTCCCCAGAAAAACAAGCCCCCACATGCCTCTCCTAAGACAACCAGATGCCATGTAACTCACCCCCCACAACAAAACAGAAATAAATACAGAGAACAGAATTTCATGGGACAGCGCCACCATGCTTTTTGAAGATTCTAAGCCTCAAAGCGCCTGCATACCCCACAGCCCCCTTGAAGGGTTCTGTGACTTTGTCCCCAGTTGTATCTTTAACTTGTGTTATGGTGGGGCGAGTAGGGTTGCATAATCCTGCCCCTGATCCCAGTGACTACAGCTGATTGGACCTAATGGTCACCTGACCCAAGGGCAGCCCTCCTATAGGTTGCTCAGCAGCACAAGAAATGGCTGGTTCAAAAACTGCCCAAGAAGTTGATCCTGACCTCTTGTCCCAGCTTTAAAATGAACAGCCCATTGAGAAATGGCCACTGGAAGCAGGGCAGAAGGAGGATGACACCCTGCTTGGGGCATGCAGGCAATGCTCATGTATGCTTTCTTAAAAACTTGCCCCAAAGTTAGATAAAAGGCTTGCATATTATAAAGCAGCTTCCATTTCCAAAGACTTAGAAAATATTCTATCATTAGTCATACATTGCCATCTAGATTAATCTTCAATGATGGAACTGCAACATTTCATACCTATTAATTCTGTTTTTCTTTTTTCTTATTCCAACTCAGTGAGCATCCATTAAGGCCAAAAATGTGTCCCTTTGAATTCACCTAATGATTTCCATCTCTGTCTCATATTGCAGGTATCGGAGGTTTGGTTTTTGGGTTTCATTAATTTTTATAAAACGATGTGGACAAAATGCAATATATATTCGAGTAACAGCACAAACATGACCATTGAAATAAATAGAACAGCGCTTCCAAATGTGCAGTGTGGGTTGACCCATAGGCAGCATTTGAACTGTTCATTCTTTACTAAAGTTCAGTGTACCAAAAATGATTTAGAGCTATATAGCTGTTGAACTTCTTTGGTTTCAAGCAACAGGGAACAATTCCTGCTAACTCAAGCAATAAAGGAGTTTCTGGAAAAGAAGCTGAGTGCCTTGGGGGATCGGAGAAAGAGTTAAAACCAGTAAGAGTTAAACACAGTTCTCGGGAAGGACTGGAAACCTGGGCGGCTTTGGGCACAGGAACCAATGGACATCCTCCTCAGGCGCTGCCATGGGAATGACAAAGCTCCTACCACTTTTTGTCCTTGAATTATTTGCCTCAATATTCAAATTCCATGAGGGAGAGTCTGTTTGCCTTAACTTGGAGTGACAGAAACCATTGGTTGCTGTGGCAGAAAGAGTTTGTGCTCACCAAATATCCCAGGTACTTCTCAACATATCCCAGTCTACCTTGCAGTTAGGTTGAAACCATGTGACCAATTCTGGCCAATAGATTGTGAGAGGAAGTGATGTATGTCATTTCCAAGATGAGGCAGTTAAGAGCTGGTGTGCCTCCTCCATCCTTCTCTTGCCATTGAGGCTACCTTGGAGGCATGTTCCAGAAGACATGAGACCTGTCCTTCCCTCTATCACTAGACTCGAGAGCTCATGAGAACAGGGTTCATAACTGCCCACCACAGTGTCTGGCATATTGCAGGTGCTCAGTAAGTAGGTGTTGAATGAAGGAATTAATAAACGAATGATTTCTAAAACCCTTCTATGCCCTTTTTCACTTACCTGTATGTCTCCCCAACTAGACCATGAGTTTCTTGAAGGCAGAAGCTGGGTCTCATTCAACTTTATATGCATGGTGCCCAGCACTGTGCTGACACATAAGAAATACTCAACAATGTTTGTTTAATGATGGACAAAAGGAAGAATGATTGGATGGATGGATGGATGAACTAGCAAGTTGAGGGGACGTTGTGCTCCAGTCAATAAACTGGTACTTGCTTCACTGTATGTCTTCTGGGATCAACTATCATCTCCAGGAGAAACTAGAGACCCCAAGGCAGCTCAGCAGTGAGAATCTAAGCAGTCAGTCTCCAACCCTCCTTGGAGAAGCCACCACCACCTCCACTGCCCAGGTCCTGGGAGCCCCTCTGTCTCTCTCTCTTTCTCTGTCTCTCCATCTGTCTCTGTCCGTCTTTGTCTCTCTCTCGTACGCACACACACACACGCCGAGTCCTTGGGCTCTCGGCTGACCAGCCATCAGAAGAGAAGGTTGTTACAGGTAAGTCACCTCTAGGGGATATCCAGTTAACTCTTCAGAGTAGTGGTCCCCTCGGCCTAGGGTGGGGACTTCGTCATGGATGAGGCGTTGGGCATCCAGGCCCTACAGTCATGCTCTGCAGACCCCCGCCCCAGTTTGGCTTCCTGGCAGAGGGGGAGGACCAGTTCCCTCTTCACTACCCTGGACTCCTGCCTCCACCATCCCAAGTCTTTCAGTTATGGAATGAAGGAGTCATGGAAGGAGAAAAGAGGAAAAAGTGTGGGGTGGAAGGTCCCAGAAGTGGGGCAGAAGCCCAGCTTATCTGCTGCCACTTCCTGCCCAGTGTTCCAGGACAGGGTGGAATCACTCACCAGGAAAGAAGGATAAAGGTGTGGCTAGGTAGAAGCAAAAGGGATAGAAACAGAGATGCAAGACGCAGACATTAGCATGGAACTGAGTTAATGAAGACAACGCAGAGGCAAGGGGTGCCAGACATAAAAATTAAAGGCAAGTAACCAGTGGGAGCAACTATTTGTAACAAATAGAAAATACCTGAAATATATAAAAAGTGTCTACAAATTAATAACCCAGCAAAAAAGAGAGCAAATAATATAACAGGAAATTCACAAAAGGCGGTTCATAAAATAAACCTAAACATCTAACAGACATGTGAAAAGATAGTTAACTTCACTGGTTGTTAGGGAAGTGTATTGAGAGTTGTCAGGGGTGTAAAGCAACCGGTCTCTGGCATGACAGTGTAATGGTGTAGCTTTGGTGGAGAACTCTGGAAGCCTCAATCAAACTTTAAAATCTAAAAGAAAAAATTTAATCCAGCAGACCACTTATAAGAAGGTATCCTACTAAAAACGCCCATATTTGCAGAAAGAAATGTTTATGATGATGGTCTACGCAATATTATTTTTATAGGAAAAAACTTTAAAAAACTTAAATGTCCAGGGGCTGGCCCGGTGGCGTAGTGGTTAAGTTCATGCACTCGGCTTTGGCAGCCTGGGGTTCGCAGGTTCAGATCCCAGGCTCAGACCTGGCACCGCTTGTCAAGCCACGCTGTGGTGGCATCCCACATAAAATAGAGGAAGATTGCTCAGCGACAATCTTCCTCAAGCAAAAAGAGAAAGATGGGCAACAGATGTTAGTTCAGGGCCAATCTTCCTCACAAAAAAAAAAAAAAAAAAAACCAAGAAAAAAAGAAAAACTTAAATATCTTTCAGGAAGAAAATGTTAAATTGGGAAACAGTCCTACCGTGAAAAATAATATAGCCGGTAATAAAGTCAATCCATAAATGCTGACACGGAAAAAACATCCAGGATGTATGGTTGTAGAGGTGGAAAACAAGTCGCACAATGATAAGCATGGTATGACGCCTTTTATGGTACAAAAATAAGCTAAGTATGTAATCAACACAAATGCCAGGGAAGAAGTTTGGGAAGATGCACACCGACCTGTTGTTTGAGAAGGAGCTGGACTGTACAGGAGGGCCATGACGAGGAGTAAGGGAGCGAGGACTTCCAAATGAGAGAGAGAGAGAGAGAGAGAGAGAGAGAGGAAACCTGGGAAAAAGAGATCTATTTGATTGCCTGATAGATATACTCACAGGGAACAGCTTTGTTAAGGAAAAGTATCCAAAACTGATAAAGAGGACAACTGCCTGCCCTTTCAAAGATATTTAATTTTTCTGGAAGAAAGTACCATTGCTTGATTTTGCTATTTATTATTAATAAAGGCCTCAGTCTATGTGAAGCTCATGTAACTTGTGTCTGGTAGAGATGCAAATGATTTCTGTTCAGTAATAAAAGATAACCCCAACAGTTAAGAGTTTATTGCCCTGTAGGACATTAGCTATTTTTGTAATTAACCCAGCAATCCTATCCTAACATTCCTTTATAAAATTGCCCATAAATAAATCCTCAGCACCTCAACTGTTCTTGGAACCAGTATTACCACCTTGCTAAGCTGAATTAAATCTTTGACTTGTGTTCGTTCTAATTTGCATGAATCATGTTTTTAATATTTTTGAAAATAATACTTTGACAGGCTGGAGGGAGGGGAGCTATGTCCCACTAGAGCCTAGAGCCATGGTCCCTTCCCTCATTGCTGGGGCCTCTTCCAGCTTCCTCCCCATCTTTGTGGCCCCCTGCTCCCTTGTGCCATGGACTTCAGGGATGCCTTTGCTCACCACCCAGGGAGGATGGGGAACACACGTCCCCACTCCCACCTCCACCGACCTGAGAAAGAGCTGAGGATGGGGCTGGAGGCAAGAGAACAAAAATGGAGACAGAGACGGGCTGGCTGCGTCAGGCCACGCGGTGACTCAGTGTTCGCTACTCAGAGTGGTTTACCCGGACTGGGAGTGGACCTGGGGGAGATGCAGAGGAGGCGCCCAGACTTCTCTCCCGGGGCACCAGAAGTGGGGTGGAGTCACCTGGAAGAGTAGACAGGGAACGTCTCGGGAGCCAAAAGCCGACCCTGGTCTGGAGAGGTGGGGGTAAAGCAAGGCTACAGCGAAAGGAGCCGAGGTTAGACTGCGGGCTGAGGGCGAGGGCCTGGGCCGAGGGGGCGGTGCTGGGTGGCGCACAGGATCGCCCCGCGCCCGGGGACAGATGCCTCTTGAGGGGACAGGCCACGGGAGCCCGAGCCAGGCGCACACAGATCTCCCCAGACCCGCCTGCCCCGCCGCCCCAACGACTCTCAGTCCTCCAGCCAGCCCGTCGCTGCCTCGCCTTCTGCGGCATTCCGGACCTCATCGACCGCAGGCCATGGGCGAATACCAGGTGCGTGCGGCCACCAGCTCCTTCCTGGGCTCGGGCACCTGAGACAACGTGTCAGTGAGCCTGGTGGGACCCGCAGGCGAGATCCCGGCCCTGCTGCTGGACAACTTCGGGAAGGGCTTCAATCGGGGCGCGGTGAGGGCCCGCGCGGGCCCGGGCGCCCCTCTCTTC